ATATATATTTATATGTACAATACACAGATACATACACTCTCAGTCAGCAGGATTAAACTGTTTTCTTTTTGAAATGTTTGATTGGTATCACTAATTGTTTTCTACTATTTTGTGAATTCAATGGAATTTATCTATTACCTGAAAAGGAGAAATTTAAAAGATCCAAATGGAATCTGTGGATCAATATTAGCACCAATACAGATGGCCATTACTTCAAAATGACTGAAGGGACTAAAATAATTTATTTTTTTTTATAACTCTCCTCTTACTGCACAAGCATTCTTTATTCCTGCAAAATATTTAGGCAGTAATACCTCTCAGGTCCATACATCTATTCTTGTTAAATTTAAATTTTGTACAGCTTTCTTTACTGTAATATACAGTATCTCTTTTGTCCTGTTGGATTATTTCATTTTTCATGGAGAAAAGTGATTGATAGCTATCCAACAGAATTTTTTTTAAATCCCCTCGCTCCTTCCATTGTATGGCTCAGTTTCAAGATTTAATCGATAGGCAGCCACCATTACTATAACCAGTACCCTTCTAGCACAGTTCAGTCACTGACTGTTGATGCTTAAAACACAAAGTTTTGAGGTTGGCTTGCTGTTTATGGAAACCAAGATACCCAGAGGTCATATCTTTTTAGCACACACGCCACCACCTGCCACACAATATCAGTCAGTCCTGATACTATAATTCAATTAGTTACCTACCATTTGGGTCACAAAAATAACAAACCCAGTTGCAATTTTAAACATTATAAGAATATTCACCCTGAGAACACAGAGGAAGTGTTTTAAAAAAATTCTGATATGTTTTCTCTTCATATATAGTTTTCTTCTTTTCTCTTCATCTCCTCTTGGGTACCTGGGTTTGTATGTAGTATTTGACCTCACACTTGCTTTGTCAGTTGACTGGTTCACGCCACAGTCAGGTACTGGTGATAGAACAGCCCAAAAAGGCTTGTAGAAAAGAGGCAAGCAGCAATCCACCAGGTGAGGAAAGACAGGAGTCCCCGGAACAGAAGAGGAGTGAAAATATTCTTTAGGCTTCCCAAAGCCATTGTTATTTGTACCACAGTTACTTTCATCTTTCCATCAGCAGGTGGAGACTCAGAATAAACTGAACTGGGAAGCAGACTGTTTTCTACTGGAGTGTCAGAATTCAATTCCGGGTAGATGCCCCAAGAATAATTACCTGTTAAAAAGAAATGAGTAACAGATTTTTATAGAAAAAAACCCAAGTTCTGTTATTTCTATCGCTCTATAGATCATCTTATATATATTCTTCACACACACAAAAAAAAATTGAAGCATTTCTAACTTAGTAAATACTGACTATCTGCATGGCTTTGATCATACTAGTAAGCTATTAGGGTAGGATTCATCTTACCTTTTGACATCCTAACATCTACATGTGACATGGTTGCCTTGGGACCTTGTCAGCGCTGGGTATGATTCACCTCACCAGATGTAGATGCCTACTCCAGAACAGGATGAATCAGAGCCTAACAAAGCCTATCTCTTTCCACTGACATTTTGCAAAAAGAGTATCACGTCTGTATGGCAGGCTGTGAAAAACATCCCTCTCAAGAAAGAAAGAAAAAAAAAACAAAACCACACCAACAGAGTGACATCAGATCTCCCAGTAATGAAATTAACTTCATATGTCACAGTTTCCATTCAAAAAGCCTACTTAAGACTGAAAAGCTGAAAAAAATTCCTTCAATGGATGGTCATAAGGTTAAATCAACAATGCTTTATACAGCTCACTTTTAAAATACCTTTTAAAAGACAAATATTTCAACTGACGTGAACAGCTTAACTGGTGTATTACACAACTTCTCAGAAATAAATCAAACAAATTAGCATATAATTGAAAGATGTCAAAAGCAGCAACAGAGGAGGACTGCTTAAAAGCCCCACATCAGTATGTTTTAAATTGTAGGAAACGACAATGTATTTCTGTATTGCAAGTACCTGTACATTCTAATTCTCTTTAGTAAGCCGAAAATATGAAAGCCCTGTGTAGAACAGAACACATTTTTGTTGATCCAATTTTGCCTACCTAGTGTTTTCAAGAGCAGAGTTGTGTGAAGGAGCATTACCAATGGTGCAACATACTGCAGTGCAATTACACAAAGATAATAGAATACCCGAGCCACCTGGGAAAACAGAAGAGAGTAATTTATGAGTTCTGGCTAATCAAAGACAACCTTTATGAACACATCTAGGAAAACAAAGCAATTTATTAAGAAAAAAAAGTACTTATGCATTAAAGCTGTTTAAAAAGTTTTCTAGCACATCTTGGGATGTGACATACTGTCTTCAAAAGGCCTAATGAAGAAATCCCTACAATGAACTCCAGTTTCAGGACATTTACAAATCTGACAGAAAGTGCTGAAAGGAAACAACTAAAAGCATCACTTCTGTTAAAACAAACAGAATCCATTTTACTTCTGCAAACTGCATGTCATCATTCAAAGATTCCTATTTCAATACACCAGAATCAAAGCTAAATATATGTTTAATTTTTAAAGTCCCCAATGATTTACAAACTAAATCCCATTTCAAAAATGAAGCAGTAGTCACAGTCCAAAGCCTCATAAAAAGTAAATAAAAATTTGGTTAATATTGCAGTCCCTTTTCAAAAGCAAGATATTTTTAAGATTTCCAACCAGTATTGTAAAAACAATGACAAGATGATTTTTCAGAGTAGCTGATCAATAACAGCATTTAAATGGTCTTTATTTCAGGCACACTTTATGGTTCATTGAAATCCACTCAGATTTATCCCTCCCCCTGCTCCCAATCTGTTCCACCTTTCTCAAGATTGTTACATTATATATTTTGTATAAGCTATTGACCTAAAAGACTAGACCAAATAAAGAAGGAAAGAAGTCATAAAATCAATAGCAAGCAAGCAATGAAATAAAGCTAACTGGATTTTTGAAAAGAACAGAATACAGGGTGGCAAAAAAGATGAAGGCAGACATGACATTTTTGGAAATACCTCTAAAACCTCAAAGGGCTTCATGATGAACAAGCATCAAAAAAGTAGCACAAGAAGAAAAAGCAGTAAGACACTAACAGAAGAAAAAGCATGAGACAAAAATATTGCAAGATAATTGATGGAATAGGATAAAAAGAACAACTTAAAAAGTAATGATCACTGTAGGAAAGACTTTACTGGCAAAACTTCCCTAAGAAGATAAAGCAGACATGACTAGTAAAACAAGACAGGACTTTGTTTAGGGGCTATGGCCTTCCCAAAGACATAAAAACGGATTTAGGGAACACTGCACAGAGAAGACATTATTGTTTTACACAGAGGATGAAAGCTCCCCAAACTAAAATTATGCATTCACAGCGATCAGCACAGTTCTGTCTTAACTAGTTGCTGCCACCTGCACTTCCTAACTTTTTTTCTGAAGCAAACTGCTAGCCACTTTGTTTGTAAATACCCACTGCATAGTCCACTTACAACCTTCAGATACTCCCTGAAGCCAAGGACAAGATTGTAACAGTGACAATTCTAGGAGAGGAATCTTTATCTTATGGCATACTTCAATATTCCTCCTGCAAGACACCCCAACTCAGCAGGACCACCAGGCAGCACTGTCATGCAACACTAGAAATGTTTATTTTGCAGGTAACACACAACACCATTCTACAGAAAGCTGATGAACTTCTACCTCCTCAGTTTGTTGAGATGGTATGTTTTAAACCTTTTTCTTGAAAAAAAAAAAAAAATCAAAGACTTTTTTCCTTTGCCACAGTAACAAGATGGGCAGACAGTTTTGTAATGAGGCTACTGCACTTGAGAGTGGTCTGATAGAATTAAGCATGTCTCATTTTACCCCAAAATACAACCACCTTATCTTAAATTTTGCCTCAATTTAAAAATCATAGTTGGGATTAGGTAACAGTAATTTACCCTTCTATCTAAATTCAACTTAATATTTTTCCCATGTTGTAGCTATATATTACCACTCACCAAGATCTACTCATGCTGAGCAGAAACTCATCGTATTTGTACATATTTATAAAGAACAATTAATGAAGGGATCTTTTACAAAAACTTTCAAATAACTTAAGACAAGCCATCTGCATAATACGGATGACACATCTCTGCATATTCTGGTTTGCAGAATTTCTCTGTATTGGTGTTATTTTTATAGGAGATGTAGTGTAGGAAGCTTCGTTCAGATTTCAGCTCTGGTGCCACCGAATATGTAACAAACTGGAAAAAGGCATTGGTAGAGACAGAGCACTCCAAATACGTAACCTCAGTACTTACCATCTTCTGTAAATCAACCATACTTATTCTGCCAGCTTCCTTTTTCATCTGATCCACACTTTTCTGGGCTAAATTCAGATAGGCCTGTAAATGATGACGCATCATAGCCAACCGTAAAGCACATAACAGGATTATAATCCACAACCTCACGGTGTCAAAGGTATCTTCTGACATTCTGCATATAGAAAAAAGGGTAATGCCGTTTTCCAAAGGTCACCTACTGCTACAGGTATATGTTTGTACCATCTGTAAAGAAATCTTGAAGCATATTGTCAAAAATACTTAATGCACAATATATAGTTACGAAGTTCATGTGCAAGTAACATGCACTTTTGCCCCCCCCCTTCTCTCTACTGCTGCTTCTTAGTAGCCCTATTACAGCACGAGATCCAAATTAGTAATCACTTGTCTGCAAACAGCACTTAAATTCTGAGTAACAAAGACAGGACACTAAAAACCAAGCTTACTCAGATTTTGAGGCTTTTTACAGGTTTTACAGGTTTTGAGACACCCAGTTCTACACAGCAAACGAGCACCTCAATTGCCTTAGATACACCATTACAGCTCAACTCTCATTTTAGCATAAACTGAGGAACAAATACAAAATACGTGTATTTGCAATGTTTTATGTAATAGTTCAGTGGTCACAGCACCACATTAGAAGCATACCTTAGACCCAGACAGTAATGAAAGTGTTAGCCAACCGCATTTGTTTCAAGTCTCTTTTCTCATTTTGAATTATCCAGACTAACAGAGCCAATGACAATCACCTACACTACTTATACAACATCTATTTCAGATACACTCTTAATGAAAATTCCTTCCCTTTTTATGTTTTAAATAATTTACCTATCAATTCTATATGCAATTCACCTACACTTAGATCTTAAGACAAATCACTTAGGTCAGTACCTGTGCCAATGTATCTTGACTGCCTTCACTGAAATCACTCCTCTTCTACACCAATATGTAAGAGACAAGGTTCCAGAAGGTGGCAGTGAGGTGGTATTCCACGCCTAGGAAGAACAACCCACCACTGCCAAGGAGATGCCAGAAGATAGCACCTTTTGAGGAACCACCACCTTAACATTCAACACTCTGCAACAAATTCTCGTTCTTCCGAAATGACAGAAGCTCTTTAGAGCTCAGCTGCAACTTCCACAAATACCTTTGACAGCAGCTGCTACTAAATTTTAGGTCTTCCATGCTTCCGTGACTTTCACAGGGCACTACCTAGGCTTATAGTTTTGTTCTCAACACCCCAGAAAGAATTTTTAAAGGGAATCTTACAAAGGGACGCTCTCTTTGCCCAAAGGTGGGTTCATAATGTAGTCCTTAGTGATTGGTTTTACCCACAGCAGAACCATAAATAAAGGTGCCAAGAAGTTTATATGTAGCAATGTTCTGAAAGAAGAAAAAAGAAAGGGGAGAAGTTATTGAATACAATTACCATACTGTTGAAACTGGGGCTACAAATTCAAAATGAGAAATCCAAATTTTAAAATAGCCGGGAGAAAGGTAAATAAAAAACTACTTTCCTATTGATAGGTATGACAAAACAGTCATATTCAACAAAACAGTAATACTACATACTGTGAAATCACACTGGTTGTGGCTTAAAAACAGTGCTCTTAGAATATCTGAAAACCTGATTTATTCCAAACTATCTAACCAAAGGAGCTACCTGCATAATGCCATGCTACAATAAAAGACAGTTGTTGAAAGTTTCCATACGATGGCATAACACCAAACTGCACTAGCTATCACAGTTTTAATCTAGAGAGTCAGCATCTTGGACAATTATGGGAAATACACTGCTGTATTACTACTTCTTCTGCTTTATTTATTAATCAGATTAATTTCCATTGTCTATACAGACCAGGGGGAACAGTTCTCAGAGGTCAGATTTCCCAGTTTAATAAAGGTTTTTACTTAGCAACCTTGACTAAATGAAACTTGGAACTTACATTCAATTAAAGATATTTGGATTAAAAAAAAAAAAACACCAAAAAAACACAACAACAAAAAAAAAAAATCAAAACAGCACAGCTATTCCATTTTAAATGCACTGTACAAAACCGCACAGTTAATATAAAAGTAGTACTCTTTTGTAATCCTACAAAACAGACAGCAGAATTTAAAAAGAAGATACAAGTCTTCTGGAGTTTTTCCTGAATTAATACCCTGCATTTCTGAACGCCATATCCCAAACATTTTTCATACTAAAATGAAATGAAAAGAGTTCAAGACTTCAGTTCTGTAGATCTGGTGGGTTTGCTAGTGCAATGCTTCCTCCCTAAAACAATCAGCTTCTCTATACCTCCATCTCCAACCAGAGTGCTCCTACACTATAGAAAAAATGAGGTAATCAAAAGTTATTCTAAAGAACATAAGACCTTACTGATTTCAAACTATCAAGCTTCCTAAAAACATCAAAATGTTTGTATGTTTCAAAAGATGTCATCACACTCACATTTAAATTATTTGGTTTAGATGAAGAAGTAAGCACTACTAGTTGTTCAGTGTTGCTAGGGAACACAACGGCACCAAAGAACAGTCTAAAGCATTTCAGTAACGAGTGAAAGCATTTCACCTGAGTTTTTACTTATTTAAGACATCTTACAAAGTTAATGGACTGGAATATGACAAAGGGTGGCAAGAATCCCTTCCTGTTTATTTGAGTACAGGGAGAAAGGCTGAAAGACTCTTGAAGAAGGCTCTGAAAAATGAGGGAATGCATAGAAAATGGTACAAATTGGTTAAGATGACTACAAAATACATGCAGGGAAGGATATTGCCACTACAGAAAAAAAATCAAACCAGATACCAAAACCAAAAGGGACACCAGATTATTTTTATTCTGTTTACCCAGAAAACCACAACTTTACTCTCTAAATAATGAAAGAACCACATTAACCATATTAGTGAAGTGGTGGTTAATCTCTAACCATTACTTTTTTTCTTTTTTTTTTTTTTTTTTTTTTTGGTCAGTGTTGCCTGTAAGTTAAGTCTCCCGTTCTGTAATGAAATGGGAAAGGGAGCTTGTCCCCTCAGCTTTTTTTTCTTCTGTGTGGGTCCACTGGTTTTGGGGTTCCCCCCCTCTTTTTTTTGTGGTTTTTGTTTGTTTGGTTTTTTTACGAGAGCTTGGGGGCTGCTGTTTTCTCTGTGCAGTTTCTAGGGATTTTGGGTTTTGGTTTTTTTTTTTTTTTCGGTTGGAGTTTTTTTGGTTATTGTTTGGGGCTTTTTTTCCCAAAAGTAGACCACTGACTGCAGAGAAAGGATTGTTTTCCTGCCCTCAAATTAGAGCACTTCGTATCACTGACATCTTCGTTTACTACTCCCCTTTAGTCACTGTCAAACAACTGCAAACAGTCAATAATGATCTACTCACTGACATCACTAACAGCAAATACCAATCTCTTCATGCCACTTAGAACCTATCACTTGACAATGATTCTTTGTTTATAACTGCATTTCTTAATTACATTGATATCTGACCAAGTTTTAATCCGCTTAATGTGATTTTTATATTGTTCCAGTTGGATAGTCAAAGTACTGGTAGACTTTCAAAAATAATTTGCTTGGTGTTCCAAAGTTATCTTCAACAACCACTTCCAATATCCTCCAAACATTAAGTTAGAGAAGACTGATTTTTCATAACCCCATCCTAGTGGATATTAATTATTTTAGTTCTTGATTATCGAACTTCTGTTTCAGAGACTTTATATTTCTGCATAGGGTCTCATGTCCACAGAACAAGGAAGATGTTTGAAAAATCAGAGGATACCTACAGAAAAGGTACAAGAAATTTTAGAATTTTGAGACTCATAAAAACGAAAAACTACGCAGTTTACTTTATTTGGCTGAAAAGAACAGATTAGGAAGTGACTCAGTCACAGCCTACATATAGACAGAAACTTAACAGCAGATACAACAAGCCATCAGCTTGCAGCTGTACCTGGATGCATTCAGCTACGATGAGTGCAAGTATAACAGAGTACTTAGTTCTAAGTTTACCAAGAGTGAAGGATCCACTTCAAACATAGACTAATCTTCCAGCTGGGCATTTTTGGGGGAAAGGAAAAAAAATGCAGTTTGAACATAACTGATGGTTGTATCATAAAACATAACGGTCCTCTTCAGAAAGTGACCAGACTAAATGATCACAATGGGCTATGCTGCAGAATCTGCCATTAACATGTATCAAACATCATAGGCCAAGATCTATGAAAGACATCTGGAGTTCCTCCCTCAACCAGAGGACACTGAAAAGTAACAGTTAAATCAAAGCAAACATTTTACTACCAAACACAAAGACAGCTGAAAATGAAAATATTCCTTTAAACTGGTATTAACATCTGGCCCTTATTAACTATTCCGGGTCATCTTTTCTTTTTATCTCACCCTAAATTTATCAAAGGCATGATGCCCACCTGGACATGTGGGTGGGAAAAAAAAAAAAATGTCTGTAGTTGCACCTCTACTTCCTGAAAGTTATCTGAGCTTCCAAAAAGATATGATGGGTGAAAAGAAGCAGCAAGCAGAAACATTCTTGATGGAGCTCTTGCAGGAGAAAAGGAAAGCTCCTTTAACTGGGAATCTAATTACAAGGCAAAGAATGTAACAGATTGGCAGAGCACAGGTTGAGCAGAAAGAGGCAGGTGGCAAGTCTGCTCAAGATACGAAAAGCAGGCAGCAACAGAAGTCTTAGTCAGTACCTTTTTGTTGGAATAGTTTGCTTTGATTATTTTCAGACATTAAAGATTTAAGACTGAGTAGCATATACCTATGTGTATATATTTTCTCTTACTGTGTTATTTTTTCTGTTGCTAAATTCAGAGCATCCAGATGCATTTGAGCCAGTCGCAAGCCAGGGAATGTCAAAAAAGCACCAATAAGTGAACACAGAACAGCCAGGAACAATTTGAAGGTTAGTTTAGACACAGGACCCCTAAAAGAAAAGAAAGGAAATAAGCATTTTGTTGGGGAGGAAGTTGGGAGTGGGGGTGTGTATCAGACTTAACAGTATCTAACATTTAATAAAAAAAGCAAACAGTATTCTACACTTTTACTCTGAAATACCAGCATTATTACAAACCAACCAGGAGTTACAATCAAAAAAAAAAAAAAAAAAAAAAAAAGGACACCTATTAGACACCTATTTCCTAGAAAAACAGAAAACCTAAACTGCTGTCTATAAAATGTTAAGTTTGTTAGTAAAGAACAAAAAAAGAATAGTTTTATATTGTAATTAACAACAAATTATATAAAAGAAATAGCTAACAGAATTAATTTTATGATTATGTTTTTAAGAGAGGAACAGATGCATCATAAGTTAGTCAAAGGCAAAATGGGTATTTATGTTATACTACTTACATTCTACCTTTGTCCATTAAAAAGCTCTATCAAACTGTTTTTACTGCAGTTTTTCACAGATTTATCTAAAACATACATGTGGCCAATTAATGTGTCTCTTCCAAATGATTAATATAGTTTGTTTTAATGAACTACAGAGTATATAAAAAAATTACAGAAAAAAAATATCCAGAATCAACTGAATTACAGAATTAACACACACTGGATTACACACAAAAAAACCAAGTGACATGTAACTAACACAGACTAAAGAGGAACAAAAACAAATCTAGTGATCCATGTGAGTTTCAGACACTTTCTTAATCTTTGTCATATAAACTTCCAAGAGACACCATCATCAACTCAATTGTTGCTGTAAACAGACAAAGCACTGCAAAAGTTCAAAACTAAACAAACACTTAACAGGAAAATTAATATAGAAGTTAGTAAACTTGCAATAGCTTAGGCAAAGCAGAAGAAACACATGGGATTCAGTTAAGGGTTTCCCATGAGTTTATTCATAAACGACACACTGATCTAGTTTGAGGAGACTTCCATTCCTTGAAGAGATTCCACAGCTTCTGCACAATACTTGAGAACTTCCAAGCAAGCAATTCACAGCTGCGCTCCCACAGTGAGGACATACCCCATAAATGCATTTAAGAGCAGGCATATAAGGGAAGAATTGTAAAAGAAACCCATTTTACAGTATACAAAGGCTGTCTATGACAGCAATTTATGTAACATCACAAGCTATGGCATGTTCCTTTGACAGTCTATACATATCTTGGATGTCCTGTAGCAAGCAGATGTTTTTGCACAATATCAAAACACTATTAGAACCCGAAACCAGGCATGAACGCCAAAATTTACTCCTAATGCCAACTTTATCACAGCTCCACTCATAGCTTTTGTAGACTAATTCTTCTGCGTAACACAGGAATGGCAAAAAATATCTATCACCTGTTTTAAGCAATCCTTGCAAAGTTAAAGGGAACTGGCAAGAAAAAAATGTTTATAGTTTTGAAGTGTATTTTATGAACTACAATCAAAATGCATGAGTAGAAACTATCTCCAAATTAAAAAAAGAAAACACAAATGCAGCTTAATTTACTTGTGAGTACTGACAAATTACGTTCATTAGCCCTCCTCTTCACATTACAAGAGCAAAACATGCAAGACAAATGCTTGCTAAGGAAATCCAAGTGGTTCAGTTATAAATGCACATATAAAACAAACAAATGTATTTCCAGAAACTTACTGGGATTCCAAACCCTGCTTTTCAAGAAACTGCATAGCACTTTCTGAGAAATTCGAGAATCCTGCAGAGACACGTATATTATATGTATTTTACTACAGTCCAAACACAGAATCCCTTTTTTGAAATAAAATGCTTTTAAACAAATTGTCATCTGTCTAGCATAACTCTTTTATGTGCTAATTAGTATGTCACAATGCAATAAAACTTGATTAACATCACTGATATCTGTACAGTTCAGGAACACGAATAAAATTAACATTTTTTACAAACCTAGGTATTTCTTTTTTTTTTTTTTTCTTCAGTAAAAGGAGCTTTGCTTTATTATGAAAGGCAAAATGGGTTAAATGTAAAACTGAAGGGCAAATGTAATTAACAAAACAAACAACCTAGATAAAGATCACACTACTTAAAAGAAAGCAGGGAAAATACACAGGATATCCTTCAGAATCTGCATTCCAAAGCAGAATTTCTTAGATGTGTATGACATATAGACTTCATTTTAACACAGATATTCTCAAAAACACCTAAAAGACTGAAAATAAAATTTTTCAGGTCATGCAATCACTATAGCTGTTGCAAACACTAAAGAAAGGAGTTACCTGATTCCAGTCCAAACTCTAGATAGTTTTCTGTCACAATGAGAATTGCCATGGCTTTAACAAAGAAGAAAAAACCAAAGGTGACACAGACTGATCTTTCACCTCCATCCTCTACTTTGAAATAATGGGTAGTCAACGAAAATAGTACCTTACTACAAAAGAAAAAGGTCAAGGAAAATTAAGTTTGTAAAATAACTATATTTAAGAACTAGAAAGCTGTATTTTGGTCATCTACACTAGGGCTGTTCTATGATGTGCAATTTTTTTTAAAAAAGTAATATGTGTTTAGCCAATTTCAGGTTAAAATTACAGAATACTGTAAAGCAAAATAATCGCATAATCGGTAGCCAGGAATACACTACTCTGGAGTACTGTTTTGATTTAGGTTTACATGTAGTCAGCTGCAGCAATATTCACCATCAGCCTAGGAGAAGTAAGCCACAGTTTAAATGTAAATTATTACGTAACCATAAGTTCCAGCAAACAAAAAATAAAAATAATTGTATCTTCAATGCAAAATATCAAGCTAAATGAAAAATATTTCATCAAACTACATAACTCAAGATATAATATACCTTAATTTCAAAATTCAAAATACTACTTCTGAACACAAAAACTGAGTCATATTTTTAGTCACAGAGGAGCAATACATATTCCTCCTGGATGCACAACCCCAAGGTACGCAAACAATCAGCAAGAACAGGATGCTCCAACAAGCACTTCTACCAGTAATGGGATAAAATTCGTCAACTATGGGAATTTCTGCTCACAGGGAGTATAGACCTGCCTTACAAGAAACTGTGACAACTGGCATGGGATTGTTGCTTGTTTGTTACATGGCTGTTTACTAAACAGAAAACATATGAAAAGATTAAACTTTTATTTCTCTACTTTCACATGCATGTGTTCGAGATTTTTAGCTATCAAAGATAATAAAACAACAGCACGTTTAGTACTATCTAGGAAAGAAAAATCTATCCCATGCTCATCTTGGGGAAAAAAAAACCCACCTTAAAAAACTCTATATAGTCTGGTATTATATTGTATCATGTAACCCTGGTGCCACAAATTCAAACATCTAAGACATTACCTGCTGTGTTACAAGCTGGTTTTAAAATGTTTATTGAGTATTCTCCTTTTTAACCCATTTCTAAACATAATTAGCTCCAAAGTTAAACAGTAGATTAGGATAAATTTTTCACGACATATTGTCAAGTATCATTACCATAAGCTGCAGTCCATTATATTTGATTATTTTTCAAATGGCAAGCAAAATCCAAAAGTCTATCTTTAATTAAACTACTTGGAGATCACTCCAGACATTACTTGCTTTGAAAAATCAAAGACAAAAAGGAAAAAGAAGATTTTAAGCGTAAACCATACCCTTTTTTCCCACTATGCAATAACATAATCATTCATATTTGACATTTTTTTAATACTGGAAGTATTTTAAGATGTAGATTACATGAAAACTTTAGAGCACCTGGTCAGTACAACATTTGAACAGTTATCAGTTAATGTCTCAAGAAACTATACAATTATGCAACATCGCACTTCATTAGGCAGCACATATTTAACATACACATTGCTGTACTTCAGGTATATGCAGAGGCACTCATATGCACACAACAAAGGGGCCTAAGCACAGCATTTAGTAACTCTAAGTTCACAGTAATCAACTTAAGCTCCTTTCATACTTCATAGAAAGAAATAAGGTATCTAAAGGAAGACTTACCTCATCCTAAAAAGAGGTAAGTAATAGGTCATACAGACCGTGTTCTGGAAAGCCCTGTTTCTCTAATACTACATTCTTAAACCAAGTGTCTTTTTAAAGCCAGGAACACGGATCACAAATTGAAAACACATTCATTTCAAATCCTGAAGTTATACGAAGGACTTTCGTAACAGTTTGAGATCAATAGTCCTAACCTATAAACAGGTTTATAGCCCCTTAGATACCTTCATTTTTTCAACCATGGATTGTGCCTAAAGGATATGGAAAATGCAATTGGGAAAAAGAAAGCACACTGACAGTAAAGTCCAATTATAGTACAGATTCAGAAGCCAATATATAAATTAATGATTATACAAACTATATGTGACTGAAACTCTCTGTTAGCTGAATGATCACCATTTCTACCTGTTCTAGGGATGGAGAAAATTGGAGCACTATCTCTCATCATGTCTCACTTCATCACTTCCTTTCACTGCTTGACCTATGTTTCAGGACTGGAGAAATAATTCAGGAGTATAGAGTGCAAAGTTTATAGATTCCCCACCCCCAACCCCAACCTCTACTACTTTTTTTTTTTTTGGTCATAAAAGGTGATATGCTTGTAGAATTTATGGTATATGCTTTTACAAACATAATTTTATCTTTTAAATTGCTGTAAGTATGGAATTTTTTAATTATATAGTCTATTGGTATTTATGCACATGACTGAAGAGAAGAAGATCCATCTTTTGTTTCTACTAAAACAAATGAAACTTTTGGATTCACAATTGAAAAGCAAATAAACTCCTCCATATTATTTCTAATTGCATGTATGTAGGAAAAAAAATAGTTTAAGGTTTAGAGCTTATTTTAAGGTATTTGATGACTGACTTTCCCCAGATCAATCTTCAGTCAAGAAAAGACTGTCACTTTCCCTTGCTATGCCATGGATACGTTTTCTAAAAGTAGCCAGTGAAATTTACTAACCACCAATGAAATCAGGTTACTTAAACCTTTTCAGATAACAGACAGCTTCCCAGCTGAGAAATACCATACTTTTGCTATACCACATTAATTTTCTGCAGAAGCCTCCAATAAAAAAAAGCTCTATTTAATGCTACAGGGGAAAAAAAAAGTAAATAAAAGTTGTACAGAGTGGCAGAAAACTATTTCTGCCCATTTGTTTCCTTTGTATAATTAACAAACGCCTGTTCAACTACCTAGTACCGGATAAGTAATTATACTTATTCAAGGTTACACTTGTACACAGGTTGCCTATTTCCCACAATTTATTTATTCCTGAAGGCTTGGTCCTACATGTCAGGCCATCCTCCTCCAGGCTTTCCCAAATTTGCCTATATTTTTAGAAATGTCACATGAATTTTAAACTTTTAACCTCTTTAATCTTTCACCCCAAACAAACTGATAGAAGTCCTTAAGAATTTTCTCTCTAAAGTATGCTGACTACTACCAAACTCTGAAAACAATAGTGGTCCCTCAGACAACACATGTCTAGGGGAAAAAAAAAAAATAAACAACCACTAAATCATGCAATTAACTGTTCATAGCTTGTTAAATAAAATTTAGCTTTTAGCACATGATCTTTGCTTTTAATACTATTCCTTCTGATCTTACTTCCCTTTCAGTCATGTAGGAAGGCTAGCGAGAAAATATAGCAAATGTGCTTCTAACATGCAGGGAATACTAGATGTTTCAATCTCCTCCAGGTCCAAATGTGCAATTAGATCTCAAGCGCTTCAGCCAGATTAGTGTAAAACTGGAAACGCTGATTTAGGCTCAACTCATATAAAAAGAGCAGGTTAGAAAGAAACAATCAAAGAAAGATCCTAATAGCTATTTGCATGTTCACACTACTGAGAAAGCTTGCACTGTCAGTCAACTTAACCTTTTTTGATTTCTGCATTTGATTTTGCCCTGAATTGATGACCAAATGAAAGCACCAATTAGGATTGTACTGAAATCCCACTGTAAGAAAGAATGCAGTGGATTTTCCTACAATATGTAATTCACAACTCTGTTTCACCCAGTGTTGCAATCACTGTAGTGTTAACTTGGCTACACCCAAGATTTGAAAGATGAAGCAAATAGGGGGTTCCCACCAATAAATTTAAGACCTCAATGTGGCTTTAGTATTTGAAGCTTGTTTTCCATTACTTCTATTAACCTCCCCCTCATCCTCAAAATGGGATTCAAAGGTGTTGGCTTTCATTTCTGATTTCTTAAGTAGTAGCTGCTTCTCTCACCCTCCCTCTCCCACGATTAAACTAGAGTTCCTGCCTTCACCCAAACAAATAAAAGGCTGTGCAATAACAGCTATATATTAGCTATAAAATCATTATAGGTACACAAGAGCCAGGCACTGACTTTACTGTCACTATGTAGCAGACTAGAAAAAACATCTTTTCGACTGTGGACCTGTCCACTAAGAAGTCAAAGCAGGAATACCTGGTCCGGAAGCAAACTATTGGGTCTTCTATTTCATGTGAGTCAACCCCCAGTTCTAGCAAGTTCTTACTCATTACAAGGAAAATTCTGGGTATCATTTATACTTCAGGCTACTTAGAAAAAGAATTCCTGTCCTTACTGGAAAGACAGCAGACATTTTAATAATCAAGTACAGACAAGCATTAAGCATATCTAGAACTGCTAACCAATTATAACTAAACAATAGAGTTCAAGGGTTTTACATAACACCACCAGCTATTGCTAACATCAAAAAAACCAACCCCACAATGCAGTAAGAATCTCTATTGAAGAACCAGCATGTATACAGAGGAATCAATTTCGAATATTCAAGTGCTATATAGACCCTAACTTAGCACTTTATCTGGCTCTCAGCTGTTGAGGGAGCAGAGCAGTTGCAGAAATTAATTTTCTAACTCACCTTTCCATAGCCTGCACCCTTCCAGGCCCCTATTCAATTCCACTGCTTTATCACTTCTCACATCTCTAAAAGGCAACTTTCCTCCCTGAAGCATATGTCTGGATTGGTATGTGGAAAGTGGTTAATTACCGTGCAAAGTGGTTAATTGCCACACAAGCATCCATGTCTGATACTGCCTTCTCCAGCAAAAACAATCATAACATCTATTTCTTTTCATGGTTTGATATTGCCTGTTTCCTAAATACTCTGCTTTTGTTTCCCTCTGTTTCAGAGGGACTTCAACTTTTCACAGAACTTTGAAAATGTACCACCTCAGCTCCTACAACTGTCTACACATTTTATTTTCTGTAAACTTTGTAAGAGTAGCTTGAATTTATTTAAAAATTATGAATTCATGATATGCATCTTTGCAATAAATTAGTATACACATTACTGTACTAATTTGTTCAGGAAGTATCAGATTAAACATACTGAAAACAAAAAGTGTGCAGTAAATTGCACATTTCTTCAAAAGTTATAAACACTTTCTGTACAGAAATCTACTGCTGATTGCGAACTCAGGCAAAACCAAATTAGTTCAGAACCACTAAGCGCTACAGATGAGCACTAACTGTATGTTCACATATGCGTATTTTTTCCATAAACAGTTTGGTACTAATGTTAACAAGCTATTGATATCAGCATGTATGAAGAGCATGTACAGCATATACATTACCCAGCAATGGGACTAGCATACATGATCCTTTTTCCAAATATTAAATATTTGTGTATCCTGTCAATCAATAATACAAGTCTTTACATGAATCGCAGAATGATGTAAAACTATTTGGAACAGCTAAGAGTGATTTAAGGAAACAGAAAAGGATACACTGCAAAAGCCAAGACAAGCAGACACCACACTACACTGATATTCATTTCTTGTGAGGGCTTCACAATACTGTAATAGGCTTCTGTCACCACATACACAACAGTAGCTGCAACGGTGAAATCCACCAACCACTGGTATTCCGGAAAATAATGCAATGCTGAAAAATACAAGTTTGCAAATGTTAAAGGTGAGATATTTTAAGGCAGGTACTGACCAATATACAACGGAGTGACAACTAAAAAATGTTTTCAATTAACTGAGGTCTAGGTAGAGCCAGATCATCCAGTAAAGGGCAACAACAGCAAAAAGTCACATATTTTCCACTCAACCACCCGAACTTCACTCTTCACTTCTGTTACTCAGTACTCAAATTTGTAAGGCTAAAAGATTTTACTATTTTATCATCTCAGCTTTTATACATTAACATCCTAAGTTCAAAAAGCATACTTAATTTGGATCTCCACATCACAACAAAAAATGGTTATTCATTTCAGTCTAGCTGCAATTCCAGGTAAGAGGTTTTTTGACTCTTTTGTTAAAGATTAAAACTTACTGGCAATCACTTAAAATACAACATATAATCACTCCCTCTTTTTCTTGAAGAAAACCAACATCTAAGATACTGATAGTTTGTTCTTCCAGATTTTGTTAGTATCTCCCACACAGCAACAAATCATTGGGTAAATTCCCTCGTAAAAATTCTGGGGATCATACCGAGTTGCATGCAGGTTGGGTGATTTACAAAGAAAGAGCTCCCATGGGTGTTGGGAACTGCAAAGAACAATCTGTGACAATCAAG